GTCGCGAACCATTTCAACTCCCCCTCCCATTCCTCAGACGACATGTCCATCCTGGGCCTCCTGCAGTGCCACAACGATGCCACCCGAAGGTTGCAGGAACAGCAACTCATATTCCGCTTGGGAACCCTGCAGCCCAATGGTATCAATGTGGATTTCACAAGTTTCAAAATCTCCCCTCCCCCCACCGCATCCCAAAACCAGTCCAACTCGTCCCTGCCTCCCTAACCTGTTCTTCCTCCCACCTATCCCCTCCTCCCACCTCAAGCCGCACCTCCATCTCCTACCGACCAACCTCATCCCGCCCCCTTGACCTGTCCGTCCTCCCTGGACTGACCTATCCCCTTCCTAACTCCCTACCTACACTCACCTTTCCTGGCCCCATCCCCGCCTCTTCGACCTGTTTGTTTCCTCTCCACCTATCCTCTCCTCTATCCCTCTTCTATCCGCCTCCCACTCTCTCCCTATTTATTTCAAAACCCCCTTCCCCTCCCCCTTTTCTGATGAAGGGTCGAGGCCCGAAACGTCAGCCTCTCTGCTCCTATGATGCTGCTTGGCCTGCTGTGTTCATCCAGCCCTGCACCTTGTTGTCTCACCATTTCCCTAGTACTGCACTCATCCCTGGAAGATCTGGACAACAAGGACACCTACGTCAGACTCCTGCTCATCGACTACAGCTCCAGCTTCAACACCATTATCCCCTCCAGACTGATCCCAAAACTCCGAGACCCAGGTCTCGGCTATGCCCTCTGCAACTGGATCCTTGGGTTCCTGACTCATAGACCTCAAACAGTGAAAATAGACAACTGCACCTCCCCCACGAGAACACTCAACACTGGAGCCCTCCAAGGATGCGTACTCTACCCCTTGCTGTACTCCTTATACGCCCATGACTTTGTTGCCAAATTCCAAGCGATAGCCAGCTACAAGTTTACTGATGACCCCGCCGTGGTAGGATGGATATCAAACAATGATGAGTCAGAATCCAGAAAGGAGATTGAGGGCTTGGTGATCTGGTGCAATGATAACAACATCTGTCTCAATGTTGGCAAAACTAAAGAACTGATCAATGAATTCCCCCACCCATCTACATCAACGGAATGGAGGTTGAGAGCATCAAATTCCTAGGGTGACAATAATCAACAACCTGACCTGGACTTTCCATGTAGATGTGATTGTCAAGATGGCACAGCAACGCCTCTTCTTCCTCAGGCAGCTCAGGAAATTTGGCGTGTCCATAGGATCCTCACCAACTTTTATAAATTCACAATAGAAAGCATTGTGTCTGGGTGCATAATGGCCTGGTACAGCAACTACTTTGCCCAGGACCGTAAGAAACTACAGAAGGTGGTGTGCACAGCCTAGACCATCACAGAAGCCAACCTCCCATCCATGGACTCTATTTACACGTCTCGTTGCCACGGAAAGGCTGACAACATCATCAAAGACTCCTCCCACTCTGATAATGTTGTCCTACAATCTTTTCTGTCAGGCAGAAGATACAGAAGCTTGAACACACCACCAGTATCAATGACAGCTTCTTCCCTGCCATTATTAGACTGATGAATGGACACTGTAACTTCAAATAATGCTAATCGTTTTAATGTTGATCCTGCCAAGTGCACGTCCGGTGCGGTGAAACCTGTATGCCTTACTCTGTCCAAATTTTTTTTCACCCTACAATCTGTATGTCCTTGTTTACTGTGAACTGCCTGTACTACTTGCAAAAAACGTTTTTCACTGTACTTAGGTACACGTGACAATAATTCAAATCAAATCATCACCTCAGGTTATACATTCACATCACAGTTAGTTTCTCTGTTGAGCAACAATATAACATGAAAAACAAAAAGTAACTTTTTTGTACATGACCCTGAAACTGAAATTTGGAAAGTTAAATCAATTTAATAGAACTGAGCAGACCAAAAATTAAGAAGGAAAAGTAATGGATTGTATGTCAAAATAGTCTTGTTGAAAAACTGAATCAATGTGACTAATGAGTAAACGATCCAAATGAACAAAGGAATGGCACGAATGAAATAACTGTCAGTTGACACTGACGGGTTAGGTCTATGGCCACCTGACATGCTTTATTATTCTATCTACAATGTGACTGATTTAAATCTGGATTTACTGAGGGCGAATGGACTGGAAGAAGTTGCTGATTGCTATGCAGCCAGCTCTTATTGAATTATGGTGGGAAGTGGGAGTAAAACCAGAAACTGCTCGAAACTATTCAGTCATTCTGGCAATATCTTTGGAAAGGAAGAAATTCATGTTGTGCGTCAGCGGCAATGTCTCAGTGATGCTCTTCACAGATGCTACCTGACATGCTGAGTATTTCTGGCATTTTCCAGCATCTACATTATTTTGTTTTTGCATTCGTCGTATGAAGGAAGACTGGATGGCTTATGCTCCGCAGGTTGGGTTATTTCCTTAATTCAGTCAAGATTACGTTTATTTGTGCTACAACATCAGGGGGAGCACTTCATGCGCATATAGAGTATCAAGGTCTGATGCTGCTTGAAAACAAGTGGGTTTGACATAGACTAACAATACGGTGCGGTCCGTAATCAACTGCAAGTTCTTGTTTACACTTTGCCCATCATTTATCAACCCACTCCCTTTGTTGCAAAACAAGCTTTTGACGATTCAGTCGATACGGACGAAATATCAGCAGGCGAGATGCCTAGCTTGTAATAAACTCGGACAGTGGAGAGAACTGAGTGTGATTTCTCGTTTTTTTTTCTGAACGAAATTCTCAAGACATTTTATGAAACAGGGTTAGGGGGTTCTTTCTTGAAATAACCCAGTGTGGAGCTGGGAGAATGCAGCAGGAGAGGCAGCATCTGAGGAGCAGGGAAAGTGGACGTTTCGGGTCGGGCCGGGTAAGAGTGAGTTAAACCAGGATTGAGGAGGAATAGTGGAGCTGGGCTGGGGCTCGCCTCGTTGGGAGTCTGATGGGACTGACTGTATGAATATTCAGCGGCGGATTTACATCTGATCGCAGTTGCTGACGAGCTCCGGGGGGCGCCCTCCATTTGTGGCGGCGGCTGCCGTTACCAGGCCCTACTCCCCCCCCCCCCCTATTTGGTGTGTGTGTGTGTGAGTGAGTGAGTGAGTGAGTGAGGGGGGTGGCTCCGAGTATTGGCGCTTCCTGCTCTCGCCGGCGCACCCACTTCCATGAGTCACACTGTGACACCCCGTTCGCTCCTTTGTGTCACCCGGACAAGTTTCTCCACCTCTCCGTGCTGCTGAAGTTTTATTTCTTTTTATTTTGTTTTACCAACCCCCACGCCTTTCTCTCTCTCTCCCCTTTTCCCCTCCTCCTCGGGCGGGTCTCTTTGTCAGTTGGTGCGGGAAGGAGACTGACTGACTGACTGACTGAGTGAGGGAGTCCCAGGCTCCGGCCCCAGGCCTGGTTACCATGGCAGCCGCCAAGGACGGAGTGGCCCAGGAGAAGTACAAGCTGGTGGTGGTGGGCGGCGGCGGCGTGGGCAAAAGCGCCCTCACCATCCAGTTCATCCAGGTCAGTGTGTGTGTACGGGCGCCTCGCCTCTTCACTTCCAAACTAATCCAGACCGCGGCTTCGGCCTACTCCCCTTCCTCCTGTATGGGGCGGGCGGAATGAATCGGGAGCTGAGATTGCGACTCGGCCCCGGAGGCCTGCCCTTGTTTTCTGTCTGTCTGGTGCGGTTTCTTTCATCGGGGATGAGCTGTCTGAGTCTGTTTTACAACCACCTCAGGGCTCCACTCTGACCCTGCGTTTCCCTTTCGACCACCGGCTCTCCTCGTGTCCACTCCTCGGCCCAATGTTGGGGATTTGGGCGCTTTCAGCTGTTAGTCCCACACAAGCTTCTGTTAATCCGCGTCTCTTTTCACCTTGACGTTTTATCAGTTAAAATACATCGGTTCTCCCTTTTTTTTTGTCTTCCCCCGATTTGTTTTATCGGGATCAGAGCCCATGCCTAACACGGTAGACTTGCCTGAGCTTGTTGAATAGATTTTGAATGGAAATCTTGAAACTTTACAAAAACCGCTTCGTGTTAAATTGACTGAAATCGCTTTTTTGAACAGTTAGTATTTTTAATTTCATTTGTTAAGTGTCTGTAAGATTGATGAAATCGTCGTTATAGGCGATAAAAGTTGTAATCCATATCGACGCCGTTCAGTTTCATTTATGTGCAAATGGTTAGTTTACTCTTGGGGGTGGGGTTTAGTTTACGAGTCTAATGTGGGCCTGCAATGATCTTTTCGTACGATTCGATTGAAGAATTATTTCAGTTTTTGAAGAAGGAACTTGCCTAGCTTTAAAAAGCTGGCGGTAGCAACCGGCTTACCTTTCTTTCTTGGCTTTAAGACGCATTATTTGTTAGTAGTGGCGAGCAAAAGCTTTTATTATGGCTTGTAATTTTGTACTTTTGTATCGAAAGCTTGCGACATATTGTACAATTTAAGCAGCTGCTGCATTTAAACCACTATCTGCTTAACAACTGTCAGCACTCTTCAGCTGTCACGTTAAACCTGTCACTGACTGTAGCCAGCATTCCAATTCCCTCGCAGCTTCTGAGTCAATATTTAACACGTACTTTAACTTGCACGATTTCGATACTCCAGTGAATAATTTGATACGTGCTTGTTGATCTGCCATAGGTTGTTATTGAGTGAAAAGATTACACAGAAGTGTGAACTTGTGAAGTGCTTCAGGAAAGTACTGTATAAATAAACAAAGGCAGTCATTTGACATAGTAGTCAGAATATCTGTAACCTCTAAGTCACCTTTCAAACACTTATTTTAAAGGCAATCAGCAGTTTAACATAATGGCATTCACTGGCCATCATCAAATCCTCGCACTACAAGCAACCTGAAACTTAATTGGTAGATATGTTAATGGTGCAGTCCCCAACTGGATATTCTGTGGACAGTGATTTAGCTGCTGACTCACCAAAGCCTCTTCCAAGTCAGCAATGTAATATCATCCTCACCAGTTGCCTGGGTGGGTGCAGCTGCACCAACACTTTAGAAACCTGAAACTATTTGGGATCAGAGCCCTCCTATGGATTGGCAGCCATCACCTTAAAGTAAAACAAAGAACTGCAGATGCTGGAAATCTGAAACAAAAACAGAAATTGCAGGAGAAACTCAGCAGATCTGGTAGCATCAGTGGAGAGAAAGCAGAGTCAATGTTTTGGATCCAGAGATCCTTCATCAGAACAATGGACCTGAAATGTTGACTCTGCTTTCATTCCACAGATGCTGTCAAATCTGCTGAGTTTCTCCGGCAATTTCTTCTTTAGTTTCATCAAGCTTAAATATGTGTGTTCATTATCAGCCCACAGTCTCTATCTACAGTGTGCACTGCAGAAACTTGCCAGTGCTTCTTTGGTTGCATCTCCTAATCTGCAAACTCTGCCGCGAAGAAGAACAAGAATGGGGTGATGGGAACATCAAAACTGGCAATTTCTTTGCTATGTCTCACGCCATGCTAACTTGCATGTTTGTTATTGCCCCTTGATTCTTGCTTGGCCAGATTCCTTGGAACGCCCTACTGAGCCACATTGTGTGAATACCTGTATTATACAGACCTGCTGTGATACAAGAATCCAAATCCACATTACCTCAAGGCAGAGAATGAGCAATATCTGCTGGCCTTGTTGCTGACACCTAAAACTCATAACTTTGGAAAAAGACGATGATAGAAAATTGGCTAGCTGTCAGAAAACAATATGCATAATGGGTCATTTTCTGATTGGCAAGATAATGAATAGAGTCCTGCAGGATCCATGCAGAGGCCTCCACTTTTTACAGTTTATATTTATGACTTAGATGAGGGCAGTGAAGTTATGATAACTGATTTGCAGAAGATGCATACAGAAGGTGGTATTTTGTGACAAGGACATAAGGAAATTGCAGCTAATAAATATAGGATGAGTGATCGGGGAAGAATCTGACAGATGGGCAATAATACAGGAAAATATGAAATTGTTCACTTTGGCATGAACCCATCCAGGCACTTGGAGAGAATACCGTTATACTGCTATACTTGTGTGTGTGTCCCACAAGAAGTTAGTGCCCTGGTACAGCAAGTAATTAAGAAGGCTAATGGAATGCCTTTATTATGATAGGAATTGAACATATGAATAAGGATATTCTGCAGGGATTGTTGAGACCGTACCTTGAATATTCTGCAATTTTGCTCCTCTTACCTGAGGGTAAAAATGTATTAGCAACAATGCAGAAGACACCAGGAATGAATGGATTGTCTTATGAGCAAAGGTTGGATGCACTGGGCTTGTTGCCGCTGGACTTTAGAAGAGTAAGGGGTGACTTGAATGAAGTATCCAATTTCTTGAACGTCCTCAACAGGTGGATGTGGAAATGATGCTACTTGTTGTGAATGCGTTCATATCTACCAGCATCGTTTAAAATTGGGGTTTGACCTTTTTGGACAGATATGAAAAATTTTTTTCCAGTGTTTTGGCAATTTGGAACACTGTGCCTCAGAATCTTCAGCAAGAGAGCCAAAGATTATCAGGAGTAGATGGGATTTTAAAATAAAGGATAAAACATAAACAGATGAAGGGAGTGCAGATGAGGTTTGCTGGAGTTGTTCCTGGGATGGCCGGATTATCCTATCTTTGGAATCCTTTACGTGTGGCTGTGGTGGCTCAGTCTTTGTGTATGTTTAAAGTAGGGTTTGATTAAATTATTAATTATCGATTGTGCAATGGGTTATGGAGATTGAACACCTGAAAATGCAGGTAAAAGACAAACAGCTATGACTGGAATTAAATGATGCAGCGCGCATAAAGGGCTGAATGAGGAGCTTCTACTTTTATTTTTGTATATTTGATTGGTAAAATCTCACCATATCCCAGTCTTCATTTCCTATTAGTAGAAGAAATAATACATTTTGCCTGGTCCTTTCATAATGCAATGCATAATTCAGTTAGTAGCATTACAAGAAATCCTCTACCTTTGATTTCATTAATATTTTGATGGTGTGTAGAAGGCAAGCAACACTGTTCTTAAACCTATCTGATTTGAAGATGAGCAGAGTCCAAACAAAGATGTAGAAATTAGCATGTGTAATTCAATGTAAACTCACATAGAGGACTCCAAATAAAAAAAAGAGATCAAACAAAAAGCAAATCAAATAATATTTTAAATAATAGTTAGATCCTGATGTCCTGAGACTCAAAACTTGTAAATGTTTAAGTTGCAGATGTACCTTAATAGTTTAGGGGGAAGAAAAAAGTTTCCATGTTGGTAAATTCTATTATGTGGAATCACAAACTTAACCTTCTGTCATCCTTCACCTATTTTAACTGAAAATCTCTGAGGTAAAGGCATAATGAAGCTTGCAGGCCGGCTAGGCAAATTGGACAGCATCTTTTTAATCTTTGTTTATTTGCCATTCTGAAAATGCAGCAAGTTTTACACTACAACACTGGTCAATGTTATTCTTAATGCAACATTGAGACTGTGTTCACTGATTTTTTGTTTTAAGAAAAAACGTTGGGCTTCAGATGCAATGTTTACAGATTTGGTCACTTTTTTTGTTGGAAACTGACAGTAACAGATGCCCAGTTGTTTCTGTCAGTGAGATTGATTTGCTTTCAATGAATCATCGAGGGTAGTCACCATCTTACTTTTGGAAATAAGTTGGCAGCTAAATACCAGTGAAGTCTGCTTTAAAAATCTGATTTCTGAGAGGTAGGTAGATATAGATGAATTGTGCAAGGACTACCTTGTACAAGTTCCCTGGTTAATTTTGGAAGACTCTTGAAACTTTTCTCCTTGCACCCCAGGTTGAGAACCTCTGTCTTTGTCTTTGCTCATAATATATCCTGTTCATCTGCTACCCCAGGCTCATTGACCTACATTAACTACTGGTCTCAATCTTCTTCAAATTTAAAATTCTTATCTTTGTCTTTTAAATATTTTGATATTACTTGCCTATCCCTGTCACATTCCCCAGGTTTACAACCCACTAAATATATTATGTTCTGCATCCCTGCTGCGTTCACAAATGATGGGAGGAACAGATACATAAGTGGGAAGGTGGGCATGAAGTAATTTAGACATAGTACGAATTTTAAATGAATTATGGAGTATCAGATGCTAGTGTACTCTGAAGGTAGGTAGGATTTGTTGTGGAATATGATTATAGGCAAAAACATTTAGATGAACTGAAGTAAATTGTGCAGGTTGTTGAACAAAGATGATACTGGACCTCTGAAATTCAAAAGTTGTTCTCTGTCAGGAAGTAATGAATCAGGTGCATGGGGAAGCAGTAGTGTTGTAGTAATATCACTGGATGTGTAACCCAGAGTCCCAGACTAATTGTTCTGCAGATATGGATTTAAATCCACTGTGGCAGATGTTTATTGAATTTAAAGGTAGTCTAATGGTGACCATATAGTAACCGTTGTTAGTTGTCTTAAAAATCCAACTGGTTCACTTGGGTCCTTTTAGGGAAGGAAATTTACCATCCTACTCTGGTATAGCCTCCATGTAACTCCAGA